GTCTCAGTTTCAACATTTGAAATGTTACCTATGTTCTATTGTAAATAACATATTGGCTCATGTGATCTGAAAGTCATTGCATTTTGATTTTATTCACAATTTACACTTTGCCCGAACTATTTTGGAATTGGGGTTGTACATGTGCCCAATTTTCGAAGCTCAGACACAATAAGACAGACTGGCAATCATGAGTTACAGGGTAATTTTTGATACTGTTTCACAAATCTTTTGCAGTGACTGACTGCCTGAAGTCTGGAACCGATAGACAGCACCAGACGCTAGTGTTAATCCCGGGTGATGCTCTGTCTGGCTTTCACTCTACCAGTACTCTGTTCCCACTTATTTTTGAGGCATTTTACCTCCTAGAATGGAGTGCAAAAATTTAGGCACCCCTGGTTTAAATGTCTGTAACAATTAATCTCCAAGTGATTGAAAGCAAACCTGAACACTAAATGCCACAAAGTTAACCATGACACATTTCATCACATTTTAAATCAAGAATAATTTTTGTTTTTAATTTTTTACAGTTTCAAAATAATAAAAGAGGGAAAAAGGCCTTGTGCAAAAGTTTGGGAACCCTACTTCGTAACTCCTCCTCGGGCAGCTATAGCAGCTTACAAACGCTTCCTGTAGCCAGCTAAGAGTCTTTCAATTCTTGTCTTTGGAATTTTTTCCCCATTCTTCCTGACACAACTCCTCTAGCTCAGAAATCTTCTTCGGCCTTCTTGCATGCACGGCATGTTTGAGGCCTCTCCACAGATTTTCAGTAATATTCAAGTCTGGGGACTGTCATGGCCATTCAAAAACCTTCATCCGTTTCGGATTTTTAGGTATGCTTCTGGTCATTGTCTTGCAGGAATACCCAACGGCTCTTCAACTTCAGTTTCTGGACTGAGCTTTGAACATTAGCCCCTAGAATGTCTTGATATTTAGTGGAATCCATTCTTCCTTCCACCCGCACAATATTGCCTGTGCCCCCAGCTGCTACACAACCTCAAAGCATAATGGATCCACCTCCATGCTTAACAGTGGGCAACGTGTTCTTCTCTACAAATGCTTCACCCTTTTTTCTCCAAACATGCCTTAGTTGAAAAAGATCAATTTTGGTTTCGTCAGTCCAAAGCACATTGTTCCAATAGACTTGAGGTTTCTCAAGGTTTTCTTTTGCATACTTCAGACGCTTAATTTTGTGTTGAGGTCATAGGACAGGCTTCTTTCTTGCATCTCTGCCATGTAGATCTTTGTTGTTTAAGGTACTCTGTATTATTGTCGTGTGAACAACCAGACCTGTGTCTGCTACTTGTTTTTTCAGCTCTTTTTCAGTGATGTGTGGGTTCTTCTGAGCATTTCTCACCGGATCTCGGGCCATTCTATCTGAAATTTTTCTTGGTCTTCCAGATCTTTCCTTGACTTCAATTGTTCCATTTATTTTCCATTTTCTTAAAATGTTTCTTTCAGGAGAAGCAAGACTTTCTGTTCATCTTGTTTTGTATTTGATTGCAGTTTGATGGGTAGCAGTTGTGTATTTGCGAAATCAGATTCACAGTTCACAATAGTGTATCTAAAGATGCTGTGGCCAGTACGGGGATCAAGCCCGCGACCTTGGCGTTATTAGCGCCACGCTCTAACCAACTGAGCTAACCGGCCAATAAAAAAATGTTGGATTGTATGCTTAAACCTCGAGGGCATAACAGCCATTGGCACTGTTCTGAAACCTGTGACTACTTGTGTATTAAAACCGGCCTTTTTAACAAAAAGTTAAATTTACTTATTCATTTGGAAAACCATGGGGATTTTGAACTTCATGCCAGTCTTGTTCTTGTGAACTGATAGATCAGACCAAATCAAACTTACTGAAGGTTTTACTCTCAGTGTCCCAGGTGAAAGCCCTGGACTGTGCTATTGAGAGTTGAATTTTACGGCTTTATTTTGAGAACCACAAGGAATTTCTGCTTTGCACCAAGCTTCTTCTGCTCTGTTTTTGATTGTAGTTTGATCAGTTATGCAAGAATACCTCCCACTTTGTATTCATTGTTTGCAATATGAATCTAAAGATACAATGGCCAGTACGGGGATCGGACCCGCGACCTTGGCGTTATTAGCACCACGCTCTAACCAACTGAGCTAACTGGCCCACAAGAATAATTATTTTGCGGAAAAACTGCAAGGCAAAACAGTGACTGGCATACATAAAGAACTCTCACTGTCCTGAAACCTGAGATGTGAATTTTGCTTTTTTATATTGAGAAGCACGAGGATTTTCAGCTTTGCACCATGCTTGTTCTGCTCTGTATTTGATTGCAGTTTGATGGGTAATGCAAGTATACTTCCCAGGTTATTTTCATCGTTTGCAATAGTGAATCTAAAGATACAATGGCCAGTACGGGGATCGGACCCGCGACCTTGGCGTTATTAGCACCACGCTCTAACCAACTGAGCTAACCGGCCAATGAAAAGAATTATTTTTGTGGAAAAAATGTGGGGCAAAACAGCCATTGTCTTGTATGCAAAAATTTCACTGTCCCAAACCCTGTGACTGCTTGTCAATTAACACTGGCCTTTTGAAGTAAAAGTTGAATTTGCTTATTTATTTAGAAAACCATGAGGATTGTTAACTTTATACCAGTCTACTTCTGCTTTGTACTTGTTAAGTGATAGACCAGACCAAACCAAACATAGAGAAAGTTTCTTTCACAGTTTCCCAGCTGAAAGTAAAAATGTTTTGGCCAGTAGACGGGTCAGACTCACAACCTTAGCTTTATTAGAGCAACGCACTAACCGACTGAGCTAACCGACCCAAAAAAAATTCAAAGCTCTGTGTGGTGAAACTGGCAGGGCATGACAGCCAGTGGCGTGAAATAAAAACTGGCACTGCTCTGAGACATATGAATACTTGTGAATTAACACTGGCCTCTAATCTAAGCTTTTATTCAGTGTCCCAGCTAAAAAGAAAAAAATGCAGAGACCAGTACAGGGGTCGCATCCGTGCACTTGGCGTTATTAGCACCGCGCTCTAACCGATTGAGCTGACAGGCTGGTATTTGTTCTAAGTTACATGCCCTAACTGCCTTGAGATTGAGCTGAAATTTCAGTTATTATTTGTTCTATCTTGCAGTAATCATCAAACACACTTTAGGTTCTACAGAAGGATCATAGCAAGGAAATAGTGGTCAGATGTAACCTTGAAACAGTCATACTGTGCATTGTCATTTCTAGGTATTATTTCATTGGAACAGTGGGAACAAGGTTTAGTGGGGTCCTTGGCTGTGTTCTTAGACCTGTCCACATTATTATCATAGTGCTACATTCGCAGAATTCACTTTGTGGCAGGCTCCTGTGATTTGATACGTCGTGGGCGAAGGTCGATACAATGAACGAGTGAAAGTGTGCATGAGAACAGACAGTGCACAGTCTGAAAGGGTTAAATTTTATTTTTATTCAGTAATTGTGAATTAATCCTGGACTATGCTGCTCAGAGTTGAATTTATGTTATTTGTTTGAAAACCCAGCAAGACTTTCTGTTCTTCTTGTTTTGTATTTGATTGCAGTTTGATGGGTAGCAGTAGTGTATTTGCGAAATCAGATTCACAGTTCACAATAGTGTATCTAAAGATGCTGTGGCCAGTACGGGGATCGAACCCGCGACCTTGGCGTTATTAGCACACGCTCTAACCAACTGAGCTAACCGGCCGATAAACAGTGTTGGATTGTATGCTAAAACCTCGAGGGCATAACAGCCATTGGCACTGTTCTGAAACCTGTGACTACTTGTGTATTAAAACCGGCCTTTTTAACAAAAAGTTAAATTTACTTATTCATTTGGAAAACCATGGGGATTTTGAACTTCATGCCAGTCTTGTTCTTGTGAACTGATAGATCAGACCAAATCAAACTTACTGAAGGTTTTACTCTCAGTGTCCCAGGTGAAAGCCCTGGACTGTGCTATTGAGAGTTGAATTTTACGGCTTTATTTTGAGAACCACAAGGAATTTCTGCTTTGCACCAAGCTTCTTCTGCTCTGTTTTTGATTGTAGTTTGATCAGTTATGCAAGAATACCTCCCACTTTGTATTCATTGTTTGCAATATGAATCTAAAGATACAATGGCCAGTACGGGGATCGGACCCGCGACCTTGGCGTTATTAGCACCACGCTCTAACCAACTGAGCTAACCGGCCCACAAGAATAATTATTTTGTGGAAAAACTGCAAGGCAAAACAGTGACTGGCATACATAAAGAACTCTCACTGTCCTGAAACCTGAGATGTGAATTTTGCTTTTTTATATTGAGAAGCACGAGGATTTTCAGCTTTGCACCATGCTTGTTCTGCTCTGTATTTGATTGCAGTTTGATGGGTAATGCAAGTATACTTCCCAGGTTATTTTCACCGTTTGCAATAGTGAATCTAAAGATACAATGGCCAGTACGGGGATCGGACCCGCGACCTTGGCGTTATTAGCACCACGCTCTAACCAACTGAGCTAACAGGCCAATGAAAAGAATTATTTTTGTGGAAAAAATGTGGGGCAAAACAGCCATTGTCTTGTATGCAAAAATTTCACTGTCCCAAACCCTGTGACTGCTTGTCAATTAACACTGGCCTTTTGAAGTAAAAGTTGAATTTGCTTATTTATTTAGAAAACCATGAGGATTGTTAACTTTATACCAGTCTACTTCTGCTTTGTACTTGTTAAGTGATAGACCAGACCAAACCAAACATAGAGAAAGTTTCTTTCACAGTTTCCCAGCTGAAAGTAAAAATGTTTTGGCCAGTAGACGGGTCAGACTCACAACCTTAGCTTTATTAGAGCAACGCACTAACCGACTGAGCTAACCGACCCAAAAAATTCAAAGCTCTGTGTGGTGAAACTGGCAGGGCATGACAGCCAGTGGCGTGAAATAAAAACTGGCACTGCTCTGAGACATATGAATACTTGTGAATTAACACTGGCCTCTAATCTAAGCTTTTATTCAGTGTCCCAGCTAAAAAAAAAATGCAGAGACCAGTACAGGGGTCGATCCGTGCACTTGGCGTTATTAGCACCGCGCTCTAACCGATTGAGCTGACAGGCTGGTATTTGTTCTAAGTTACATGCCCTAACTGCCTTGAGATTGAGCTGAAATTTCAGTTATTATTTGTTCTATCTTGCAGTAATCATCAAACACACTTTAGGTTCTACAGAAGGATCATAGCAAGGAAATAGTGGTCAGATGTAACCTTGAAACAGTCATACTGTGCATTGTCATTTCTAGGTATTATTTCATTGGAACAGTGGGAACAAGGTTTAGTGGGGTCCTTGGCTGTGTTCTTAGACCTGTCCACATTATTATCATAGTGCTACATTCGCAGAATTCACTTTGTGGCAGGCTCCTGTGATTTGATACGTCGTGGGCGAAGGTCGATACAATGAACGAGTGAAAGTGTGCATGAGAACAGACAGTGCACAGTCTGAAAGGGTTAAATTTTATTTTTATTCAGTAATTGTGAATTAATCCTGGACTATGCTGCTCAGAGTTGAATTTATGTTATTTGTTTGAAAACCCAGCAAGACTTTCTGTTCTTCTTGTTTTGTATTTGATTGCAGTTTGATGGGTAGCAGTAGTGTATTTGCAAAATCAGATTCACAGTTCACAATAGTGTATCTAAAGATGCTGTGGCCAGTATCGGGATTGAACCCGCGACCTTGGCGTTATTAGCACCACGCTCTAACCAACTGAGCTAACCGGCCGATAAACAATGTTGGATTGTATGCTAAAACCTCGAGGGCATAACAGCCATTGGCACTGTTCTGAAACCTGTGACTACTTGTGTATTAAAACCGGCCTTTTTAACAAAAAGTTAAATTTACTTATTCTTTTGGAAAACCATGGGGATTTTGAACTTCATGCCAGTCTTGTTCTTGTGAACTGATAGATCAGACCAAATCAAACTTACTGAAGGTTTTACTCTCAGTGTCCCAGGTGAAAGCCCTGGACTGTGCTATTGAGAGTTGAATTTTACGGCTTTATTTTGAGAACCACAAGGAATTTCTGCTTTGCACCAAGCTTCTTCTGCTCTGTTTTTGATTGTAGTTTGATCAGTTATGCAAGAATACCTCCCACTTTGTATTCATTGTTTGCAATATGAATCTAAAGATACAATGGCCAGTACGGGGATCGGACCCGCGACCTTGGCGTTATTAGCACCACGCTCTAACCAACTGAGCTAACGGCCCACAAGAATAATTATTTCGCGGAAAAACTGCAAGGCAAAACAGTGACTGGCATACATAAAGAACTCTCACTGTCCTGAAACCTGAGATGTGAATTTTGCTTTTTTATATTGAGAAGCATGAGGATTTTCAGCTTTGCACCATGCTTGTTCTGCTCTGTATTTGATTGCAGTTTGATGGGTAATGCAAGTATACTTCCCAGGTTATTTTCACCGTTTGCAATAGTGAATCTAAAGATACAATGGCCAGTACGGGGATCGGACCCGCGACCTTGGCGTTATTAGCACCACGCTCTAACCAACTGAGCTAACCGGCCAATGAAAAGAATTATTTTTGTGGAAAAAATGTGGGGCAAAACAGCCATTGTCTTGTATGCAAAAATTTCACTGTCCCAAACCCTGTGACTGCTTGTCAATTAACACTGGCCTTTTGAAGTAAAAGTTGAATTTGCTTATTTATTTAGAAAACCATGAGGATTGTTAACTTTATACCAGTCTACTTCTGCTTTGTACTTGTTAAGTGATAGACCAGACCAAACCAAACATAGAGAAAGTTTCTTTCACAGTTTCCCAGCTGAAAGTAAAAATGTTTTGGCCAGTAGACGGGTCAGACTCACAACCTTAGCTTTATTAGAGCAACGCACTAACCGACTGAGCTAACCGACCCAAAAAATTCAAAGCTCTGTGTGGTGAAACTGGCAGGGCATGACAGCCAGTGGCGTGAAATAAAAACTGGCACTGCTCTGAGACATATGAATACTTGTGAATTAACACTGGCCTCTAATCTAAGCTTTTATTCAGTGTCCCAGCTAAAAGAAAAAATGCAGAGACCAGTACAGGGGTCGCATCCGTGCACTTGGCGTTATTAGCACCGCGCTCTAACCGATTGAGCTGACAGGCTGGTATTTGTTCTAAGTTACATGCCCTAACTGCCTTGAGATTGAGCTGAAATTTCAGTAATTATTTGTTCTATCTTGCAGTAATCATCAAAACACACTTTAGGTTCTACAGAAGGATCATAGCAAGGAAATAGTGGTCAGATGTAACCTTGAAACAGTCATACTGTGCATTGTCATTTCTAGGTATTATTTCATTGGAACAGTGGGAACAAGGTTTAGTGGGGTCCTTGGCTGTGTTCTTAGACCTGTCCACATTATTATCATAGTGCTACATTCGCAGAATTCACTTTGTGGCAGGCTCCTGTGATTTGATACGTCGTGGGCGAAGGTCGATACAATGAACGAGTGAAAGTGTGCATGAGAACAGACAGTGCACAGTCTGAAAGGGTTAAATTTTATTTTTATTCAGTAATTGTGAATTAATCCTGGACTATGCTGCTCAGAGTTGAATTTATGTTATTTGTTTGAAAACCCAGCAAGACTTTCTGTTCTTCTTGTTTTGTATTTGATTGCAGTTTGATGGGTAGCAGTTGTGTATTTGCGAAATCAGATTCACAGTTCACAATAGTGTATCTAAAGATGCTGTGGCCAGTACGGGGATCGAACCCGCGACCTTGGCGTTATTAGCACCACGCTCTAACCAACTGAGCTAACCGGCCGATAAACAATGTTGGATTGTATGCTAAAACCTCGAGGGCATAACAGCCATTGGCACTGTTCTGAAACCTGTGACTACTTGTGTATTAAAACCGGCCTTTTTAACAAAAGTTAAATTTACTTATTCATTTGGAAAACCATGGGGATTTTGAACTTCATGCCAGTCTTGTTCTTGTGAACTGATAGATCAGACCAAATCAAACTTACTGAAGGTTTTACTCTCAGTGTCCCAGGTGAAAGCCCTAGACTGTGCTATTGAGAGTTGAATTTTACGGCTTTATTTTGAGAACCACAAGGAATTTCTGCTTTGCACCAAGCTTCTTCTGCTCTGTTTTTGATTGTAGTTTGATCAGTTATGCAAGAATACCTCCCACTTTGTATTCATTGTTTGCAATATGAATCTAAAGATACAATGGCCAGTCTTGGGGATCGGACCCGCGACCTTGGCGTTATTAGCACCACGCTCTAACCAACTGAGCTAACGGCCCACAAGAATAATTATTTTTTGGGAAAAACTGCAAGGCAAAACAGTGACTGGCATACATAAAGAACTCTCACTGTCCTGAAACCTGAGATGTGAATTTTGCTTTTTTTTTTTTTTTTGCATGAGGATTTTCAGCTTTGCACCATGCTTGTTCTGCTCTGTATTTGATTGCAGTTTGATGGGTAATGCAAGTATACTTCCCAGGTTATTTTCACCGTTTGCAATAGTGAATCTAAAGATACAATGGCCAGTACGGGGATCGGACCCGCGACCTTGGCGTTATTAGCACCACGCTCTAACCAACTGAGCTAACCGGCCAATGAAAAGAATTATTTTTGTGGAAAAAATGTGGGGCAAAACAGCCATTGTCTTGTATGCAAAAATTTCACTGTCCCAAACCCTGTGACTGCTTGTCAATTAACACTGGCCTTTTGAAGTAAAAGTTGAATTTGCTTATTTATTTAGAAAACCATGAGGATTGTTAACTTTATACCAGTCTACTTCTGCTTTGTACTTGTTAAGTGATAGACCAGACCAAACCAAACATAGAGAAAGTTTCTTTCACAGTTTCCCAGCTGAAAGTAAAAATGTTTTGGCCAGTAGACGGGTCAGACTCACAACCTTAGCTTTATTAGAGCAACGCACTAACCGACTGAGCTAACCGACCCAAAAAATTCAAAGCTCTGTGTGGTGAAACTGGCAGGGCATGACAGCCAGTGGCGTGAAATAAAAACTGGCACTGCTCTGAGACATATGAATACTTGTGAATTAACACTGGCCTCTAATCTAAGCTTTTATTCAGTGTCCCAGCTAAAAGAAAAAATGCAGAGACCAGTACAGGGGTCGCATCCGTGCACTTGGCGTTATTAGCACCGCGCTCTAACCGATTGAGCTGACAGGCTGGTATTTGTTCTAAGTTACATGCCCTAACTGCCTTGAGATTGAGCTGAAATTTCAGTAATTATTTGTTCTATCTTGCAGTAATCATCAAACACACTTTAGGTTCTACAGAAGGATCATAGCAAGGAAATAGTGGTCAGATGTAACCTTGAAACAGTCATACTGTGCATTGTCATTTCTAGGTATTATTTCATTGGAACAGTGGGAACAAGGTTTAGTGGGGTCCTTGGCTGTGTTCTTAGACCTGTCCACATTATTATCATAGTGCTACATTCGCAGAATTCACTTTGTGGCAGGCTCCTGTGATTTGATACGTCGTGGGCGAAGGTCGATACAATGAACGAGTGAAAGTGTGCATGAGAACAGACAGTGCACAGTCTGAAAGGGTTAAATTTTATTTTTATTCAGTAATTGTGAATTAATCCTGGACTATGCTGCTCAGAGTTGAATTTATGTTATTTGTTTGAAAACCCAGCAAGACTTTCTGTTCTTCTTGTTTTGTATTTGATTGCAGTTTGATGGGTAGCAGTAGTGTATTTGCAAAATCAGATTCACAGTTCACAATAGTGTATCTAAAGATGCTGTGGCCAGTACGGGGATCGAACCCGCGACCTTGGCGTTATTAGCACCACGCTCTAACCAACTGAGCTAACCGGCCGATAAACAGTGTTGGATTGTATGCTAAAACCTCGAGGGCATAACAGCCATTGGCACTGTTCTGAAACCTGTGACTACTTGTGTATTAAAACCGGGCTTTTTTAAAAAAGTTAAATTTACTTATTCTTTTTGGAAAACCATGGGGATTTTTGAACTTCATGCCAGTCTTGTTCTTGTGAACTGATAGATCAGACCAAATCAAACTTACTGAAGGTTTTACTCTCAGTGTCCCAGGTGAAAGCCCTAGACTGTGCTATTGAGAGTT